TAGTACAAGTAAACTAATTTCTTAACTTCAATAGTCTGTGCTTGCATACAGTTCACCACGTCTGGAAACAACGCCGAGACGTCCTTCCCAACAGTCATAGCCGCTATAACCTGTATTACACGGGATGGGGCAATATCAACACCGGTCTGTCATTACCTTCTTAATAGCCTCTTTTTTCTTCTCCTTATTAGGACTATTGAGTTCTTCTTTTAACTCGTGTATTTCCCCGCGTTTCGACGAACTGAAGTATCGCGCGTCCCCCATTATCAAAACCACAACAGTAACAACCTGTTCTCAATACTAAAACTCCTACACGTCCAAACCGGAAGTCGAACTATTCAAATCGATTAGAATGGCGCGCGCGACTTCAAAAGATTGAGATACGTTCATCCCATACGGCTAGTTGTGTAAATTCTGCAATGTGTTACTCGTTAGCATTTCCTGAAGGCTGGCCCGTCTTATTCGGTATCCACTGAGTTAGCGCTGCGGAAGGGAAATCTCCATAGCGTTCGGTTGCTCTGTTCAGCTCAACTTGTGCATGGTTCAGGTTTACGTTTACTATAATCCATGCCTGAGAAATCTTACACTGCTGCCGAGGTGGCGGCCCACAACACTGAGGGTGACTGCTGGGTTATTATCGGTGATGACGTCTACGATGTTACCGAGTTCTTGCCTGACCATCCTGGAGGGAAGAAGGCGATTCTGTTGTTTGCTGGCAAGGATGCTACTGAGGAATTCGACATGTTGCATGAGCGTAGAGTTATCAAGAAGTATGCTCCTAAGGCCCATCTAGGTAAGCTCGCCAAGTGAAGTGGCATTATGAGCTTATTCCTAGTATTGTTGGCAGACAGTTGTTGCTATCATTAGGTTTTATATAACTAGTTGCATCAATTTTGACCACCTTCGTCTTGTGTTCAAGTTTGTCTCTGACGTTGGTGTACATAGGAAATCGGCGTGGGATGATATATTTTTTAGTTCTAGGTTGAAGCTGTCTAAGAAATTATTGCTGCGAGGTCAACTGTATTCCCCATAAGAACCTCCATTCGCCTCCACGTTATAGTCAGCAAAGCAAGGAACTGCGAGAGCGGTCTAGGAAGAGTAGGGTAGATCGTGCCTAGCCTGTGCACGGCAGGCACCAGCAGAAACGGCAAGGCGGAGATATCACTGATAGATGTACAACTACTATTACTGTTGTAGATCTTTCCGGGGAATATAAATAAAAAACATAGTTATCCATGCATGAGGTAATGGTCGAGCAAGTACGTTGAACAGATAGAAATGATAGCTTTGGTGTTTTCCTACTCGACATGAGAAGGTGGCTCAATGTCCAGCAGGTGAAGGTAGACTAACAGTAGCAGGGTACACCACTTAGCAGATGACGCGGGAAGTCTTAAGATCACCGCGAGGCGGGACGAGATCCCACAAACCAGACGAGTGCCGCACGCATGAACATGTACCTCGTTAAACCCGTATTGACTTGCAACCATCGATTCGACAACAGCCCTAGAGTTGAACTCATCGATGGTATCATCGTGATCGAGCTAAAGGTTGTTGTTGTCGTCGACCTACTACAGCCTCATTACCATTTCTTCAATGTCTTGATGAATTCAAGCAAGTCTCCCATGCATAGCTATGACTTCGTCTGCTTTCGAACTCACGGCCATTCGGTGTGATGCTCTCGAAGTTGGTACGGATGGTGTCCAACACACTGGTCATCATACCGTGGATTGTCATGATTTGGTCGACTTTGTTCATCGTGTTGTTTACAATTCCTGGACGGCTGTGGTTCCCCGTTGAGTTGTGGGCTGTAGAAATATGTATGTACGTGTTGTCGTTGGGTCTTCATCTACTCAACAACAGTGTCTAGTCCGGTCATGTGGCAGTGAATGGCTGACGACACAGCACCTGTACAGATCAGTCGTGAGGATTCGGAAACCGAAGATGATTCGATCGCTTGTATGAGGATGCGGACCTTGCCCGGAGGGATCTCCTTTGGAGCTCTGGAGGCTCCCAGCAGGCAGATCTCTGGCTGTAAGCTCTTCCTCAACACTCAGGGATGAATACGATGGTATCTCAGCATGTGATGATACCCCTGATGAGCAGTCAGAGGTCACAGATAATTTTCCTGAAGGTCTCCATTCTACTAGGAACGACTCGGCGTAGGGAAGTCGAGTATATGGGAGATTGTTACTCATATTTAACAGGCAAGGCAGACATAGTGAACGACGACTCAGTTTTGGTAGAGTTGGTGTATTGAAAACTGATGCTCCCGCGGACATAGCTCGGTCGATATCACTTGTAAAAAGATTAGATGAGGTACATCCCCCCAGAACACCTACTTTTGAAGGAGACGAGGAGTCAGGCACGGAGGACGACGGAATTCGCGCGGGCTAAGCTACGACGTCCTCCTATGGACTTGTTCTCCCGAGGCATGGCCGATCCGGAATCCAAATTAGCCTTGCTGGCTAGTGATAGCCGATTTCAGGTGGCACACGGGATCGCTCTAAAGTTTTACGAAATTTTTGGAGTAAATTTGGTAACTTTTTTGTTCCACAGACAAACTGAAAAACTGTTGATGTCGTATTCACTTTCGTGTTAACAACTCTTCATAAACTGCTTAAAGTCAAGCTCCGTGCGATCGCTGATTATCATCTGATTTACTCGGATAGTTCACTCGGAAGCGCCTGTCACAAGCAATGCATAGTAGGCTCCATGTCGATGGATGCTTCGTCCCTTTGCATCAGAATTGGGCTCTGGTCGTCATCGTTCTCAACGCTGTATGGATTGGCATAGATGAGGACCATAATTTCCCCGACTCTGGCATGCCTGTAGGTGGAGGACCCCCCCCCTTCCCTTCAGTGGTGCTCGCTTATTACGGTCATATTCTTCAGCTCGTCGTATTCGATGTCGGGGAGCACATATTTGGCTTCTGTTTTACCTTTGAGATCCTCGTCCGAATATTTGCCTATAGAAACAAGATGGATTTCTTTAACGACAAGCATCTACGATTCTGGAACTTATTCGACCTATGCCTGGTAGCTCACACTCATCACGCCACTTCTGTCCACCGTCCCTGCAGGTGGTCATGATGATCATCGAGATCTGGGTGCTTCCAATAGTAGATGCGGATACATCAACTCTGGGCAGCCTCAGCGTCCTCCGTCTACTCCGTTTGCTCCGAATCACTCGAGTCTTCAGTACTATCACTCGTACTCTACTACTACTACTGTGTCAAGTGGCAACGTTCAGGGATGGTCCCCGAGCTTGGCATGATGGTCAAGTCCATGGCTGCTGCCGCTCGTTCTGTCAGCAGTACTCTGGCTATTATACTCGCTCTCATGTAAAGGGAACCGGACGCGAATAGTCTCGCAAGCTGAAGATTCACTGAAAAACGATTGTCAGCGACTGCTAGGTATGTATTCGCTATCATACTAACGAACTGGGCGAAGCATTCTGAGGAGAGGCTGGCCAAGGAGGTGGACGGAACACCAGGTTTCTTTGATGAGATGTTCGGGACTATTCCCAAGAGTATGCTGACCTTATGGCAAGTACGGCTATTCGAATGTTACAGTCGTCTGAAACTACTTGTTATGAATTAACAGGTATTGGTTTTTGATGATACCTTCTCGCTTATCCGGGCGACACTGAGTGAGAGTTTCGCGTAAGAGCTCCTCGCAATCTATTTGGAACTTTGCGGACTCGGGTCTGTTGTCAGTCTGAATACCTTCGTCCCATGGTCAGGTGTGGCGCATTGCTTCTCGTATTCATACTGCTCGGAGCTTTCATGATTCTCAACATTCTCATCGGAGTTATTTGCGAGATTGTATCCGATACGACAGAGACCGAGAAAGATAAACTACTACGAGAGCGAATAGTTGAAGTAGCAGTGCCCTACCGAACACCACACTGCTGCCTTACTCGCTTCCGACAGGTATTTGATGCAATGGACGTTGACGGCTCGGGAACTCTCACCGAGAATGAGTTCAACGCTCAAGCGGCTTATCGACTACAGAAGCTTGGTGTCGATGAGGTGTGTCGGCCGTATGACATCGCTTAAAATGTCTTTTAGGATGTTGTCGCAGTGGCGTTCCAAATCATTGATTCCTCTGGTCACGGGTGTATCGACCAGGATGAGTTCGTGCAAATGCTACTGAAGATGTTACAGCCTCCCACTGCACAGGACTTACTACTCGTGCAGAAAAACTTGACTATGGTCCAGACCCTTTTGGGAGACTACATCAAGAGAACTGCTTTACGTTATCAAAGGCTCGAGGCTAAGATTGATAATTTGGGCAGTAGAAGGACATCCGCCGAGTCGACGAGATTTGGCACGGATAGGCTGGCCAGTACCGCATCGTTGGAGACTGTCACTCGAGAGACGGTTAATCAGCTATTAGGCAAGAAGTGATGATGCACGCATCAAACTTCAGCATTGCTGAATTGCATGTATACTTGTTGTGGATTGCACAAAGCTTCAGCCTCTGCACAGTAGAGTTGTGTCACTAGTTGGGTAGTCGGTAGTCAGTGCGCTCGGCTATGAGATATGATGAGGTCGTTGCGATGGTGGAATCGGCGACGGGTATTGACTGATTAACTTCATGCTGGAGAAGGAAGAGACGATCCTTCCTCTGTCTCTCATCATTCCTACTGACTGGTAGATGGTCAACGAATTCTATTGCAGACAGCTCGTAGTAGCTCTGCGGAACGCTCGCTTTCCGTTACGGAAATTTCGTATACTATAGTCGCGCGAGACTGGCATACAAAGGTCATTAGTATGTTAGAACCAAGAGCCCAATAGGTATGGGAAGAGAACTCGACGGCATGCATCGACCTCAACTAGGGGGTGCCCGGTAGACACGAGCTCTTCTCCCAATGTTACGCAAGGTCGTGGACGAGAAGCAGAGAGGTTATTGGCAATGCTTCACTATGCACGTGTTAGGGATGTTCGTCTGGGAGGTCACTTTCCTTCGTGTAATATCAGAGCCCCTCGACTCCCACAATCTTGCTCTCGTTGGTCGGTCATTATCGACCGCTATGAGTTTAGAATGTACTTAAACGCAAGAGAAAGTATTAACAAACAACAATCATGCAGCATGAGTCTTTTC